TATGAAAATTCTTTTGCTTCACGACGTATTCCCCACCCCACCAAATAAACGTTGGTCTAGCAGCTAACCCTAACCTGAAAATTTAATGAAAAGAGAAACAAACTTTAATTTAAACTTCATAACTTCTTTTATTTAATGAGTAAATTTAGTTTATTTTCAGTGAATTATCAGAAAATATGCAAAAGATATCGACTTCTTAGTTATTATGAGACAGAGCTTGTAATAGAGAAAAATGAAATAAAAATATTTTAGAAAAATATGGAAAAAATGAAGAAAAAATAAAAATTCTATAAAAAGGCCAATTTCGAAGAAAAGAGGATATGAAGTTAAGAATTTATTGAAATTTTAATTTTCATCGTCATCACCACTTTCTATTATAGAATCAATATCTAAATTGTCATTAAACAAATCATCATTCACAATATTATCTTTGTCCTGTTCAAAATTATCTTCAGCCTCTTCATTCTCTTGCCAAAGGATGTCATCTTCAGAGCCATCCTTGGCTGTCGTGAGAAAACACTTCTTGAAACCTCTCTTTATAAAATTCTCATTGACGGATTCCCATTTTGGCGGTAAAATAAAACGTTATATTTATCGTCAAAACCGCCTGATAATTTTCAACATTACTTTATTCTCAATGTCAAGAGCAGTAGCCAGGTAATGAACAAACTCGTAAACACGTAGCCCAGTGGATAAAATAGTTGTTTGGATCCAGTGACTTGAACCAAAGAGTTGTGAGATTAAATTATTTTTAACGCCCTACCCACAAAGGAGGGGAGTCAGGACCCCACACATTGTCGCGAGAAAAGGCATGAACGTTCGAAGAAGTCCTCAACATTCACATTGGCTTCACAGTTGATTTTAATTTGCTGGGGTCGAGTTACATCTGCGTGTCTAATGTTCTTGAGATAATAAAAAATAATTGTAAGTCGTCTATTGCTCTTAGATCCGTTGTTAAAAATACAATATTTTAGAATAATTTTAAAATATAATTCTCTATACGTGACGGTCTAAGGGATTGAATCAAGTGTCCAGTTTACATTTTCAAGGGAAATATTAAGTGCGAAGTCAAAATTGTTTAAGAATATTAAGTCTGATCGTGTCGATAAGCCTAAATTAGAGGCAGATTAAAAAATGACCTACAGTCTGTTGTTAAATGGGGCAAACAATGGCCTGTTAATTGTAATACCTCCCAAAACGAACTGCTCTTTATTAGTCATCTGAGAGACTCCTTTCTGCATTCCATTAGTATGACACATGCTACTCACCAAGATAAGTGAAATGTTATACCTTTTTGAGATAACGTTCTCTGTTGACATGATATGGAAAGATTATATTGAATCAATTTCTTGGTCTGCTGCTGTGACGTGCTAGACAATTTCTCTTACGTATTCTACCATTCGTCCATGCAGTGAATATTGCTGCACATCTGGTCTGGTGTTCCTGTAATATCAAGATATTCTTGATAAAACCCAAAGAAGAATCTGCAATGTTATTGGTCCTTACCTGATATCTCGGCTTCAATCACTTTCCAACTGCCCTAATGTAGCTTTTCTGCGCCTTTTCTATGATATGATATGCAATGTGATAGGTCCTGACCTGGCATCTCGACTACAGTCACTTTCTCACAGATGTGATGTGGTTTTCCTCTGTCTTTTCTACAAATATTTTCATGGCAAATGCTCTGACGATCTATTCACTGTCCGTCTGTCTATAAAAATAGATGTGTGTTAATGTGCATGATTAAAGATGAATAATGCCATCTTGCTAACGATCGTGCATTCTCTTTTCATTTGGTTAATCGTCTCTTTTTTGCTTTCATTTATTACCTTGTCTAAGAATTCCTCCATCAACACAATAGCATCAACACAATATTATATTGTTAAAATTATTCATGGAAATAACAAAATCAAGCTTTACTTACGCTAGTTACTACTCAGTTGATCACTATGCAAATTAAATTTCCCTATATGTAAATTAAATTGCTCTCTGTGTAAATTAAATTGCTCTATATGTAAATTAAATTGGACGATGTGTAAATGAAATTGTAAATTAAATTACTCTCTGTGTAAATCAAATTGCTCTCTGTATAAATAAAATTGCTCCCTGTATGAATCAAATTGCTCTCTATGTAAATTAAATTGCCCTTTACGTAAATTACATTGTTTCATATGTAAATTAAATTAAACTATATGTAAATTAAGTTGCTCTCTATGTGAATCAAATTATCTATATGTAAATTAAATTATTCTCTGTATAAATTAAATTGCTCCATATATAAAATTTATTGCTCTCTCTCTCTCTTTCAATCAAATTGATCTATATGTAAATTAAATTGTCTTATATGTAAATTAAACTTCTCTCTGTGTAAATTAAGTTGCCTTGTATGTAAATGAAATTGCTCTTATGTAAAATGTAAATTAACTTCATCAGTGTGAATCAAATTGATCTCTATGTAAATTAAATTGCTCTATAGGCACATTAAATTGCTCTTTACGTAGAGTACATTGCTTCATATGTAAAATAAATTGCTCCTTATGTAAATTACATTGCTTCATATGTAAATTAAATCGCTCTCTATGTAAACTAATTTGGCATGCATGTAAATTAAATTGGTTTTTATGTGAAATGAGTCTGTGTATTCTGTACCAACGAGAATACTCCTATAGTATATACGGGAAAATATGACGGTGAAATAAGAGAATTGCAATTAATGATTTTAATTAGCGAGAATATGTCTGTAAGAAAGTTCTGGTAAAATAGACCGTTAGAGATTATAGAACTTTAGACGGTGGACAAACGACAACCCTAACCAATAATATGGCGAGTTTAAGCGCTACAGAAAGGAAATGGTTTGAGCAAGAATCCTGTGACGAAAAGAGATAATGCTTCTTGATTGATTTTATTTTGCGGCTTATCAAACTTTTGAAGGCTATTTAACGCCCAATATTTTTTAGATTGTAAATCTTTTTTAAAAAATCATAATGATGTACTCAGAAAATCTGCGGGTTTAAGCGATACAGAAAGGAAATGGCTTGAGCAAGAATCCTGTGACGAAAAAAGACATTGCTTCTTGATTGATTTGCGGCTTATCAAACTTTTGAAAGTAATTTAACGCCTAATATTTTTCAGATTGTAATACTTTTTTTTTTTTAAATCGTAATGATTTCCTTATACAAGTCCTACTAATTAATCCATGGCTAGGGTGGAAGGAGATTGATTTCTACCTTTCCCAAGGGTATTTCAGCCTAAGTGAAAAATAACAAACTTAACGGGATGTCGATCTCCTCTTACCAATTTTCATTTGCCAGCCGTTATACATTACAGCCTGCTATAGTGATATTCCAAGCGTAGCTTGGATGTGGCAAAAGGCCGAAAGTAAGGGGCACGCAGTGAGGATCGAACTCACTACTCAGTCGTAATTTTTCTAGCGAGACAAGCTTGCTAACCGTTACAGCGCCTCGAGGTGACCAAACGATTTTTTAAGCACAGCATAGATGTGGCACAAGGCCGAAAGTATGGGGCACCCAGTGAGGATTGAACTCACTACTCATTTGTAACGATTCTAACGAGAGAAGCTTGCTAACTATTACACCGCCCCGAGGTGCCCAATTACAGCCTGCTATATATGATGACATCTGCATCTGAAATGCTGTGAAAATATACTGAAATTTATTGAAATATTAAGAATGACACTGTAGTTGACTTTGCTACCAAGATAGGTGAAAGACTTTACATAGTTCAGGGCGTTGTCTTCTACTTTCAATGGTCTGAAATTTGTAGATTGGTGTTTTTGTTTCTCACAGAAACAAAAACACACACACACACACACTTATATATATATATATATATATATATATATATATATATATATATATATATATATATATATATATATATATATATATATATATATATTTACTCTACTAGTTTGATATTAATTTAATAATGTAAAATTCTCTCAAACAAAGAGTCTTTTGTAATGACAAAATAAAAGGATTCCAGAGCAAGGACGCTCAACATAGGATCCTTCGATTCGACCTTTTATTCTGGTTTTGGCACCAACCAATTCAAAGAGATATAATCAAGGCTACACATTCAATTTTTTTACTCAAATTTGTAAAGCACCACACGGAAGACGTGCTGTTAATTTCACTTTTTTAGAATTAAAAAGAAAAAAATCAGACAACATTTTTTGTCGTAAATGTCAATAGCTTCATTTGCGCATGCGCAATTATTTGAACGAAATGGCGTCTTACAGTTTTTTTTTTCCCTAATCTGCTTGTTCTTAACTATGTAGTGTTAAATGATCAGAAAACTTGTCTTCTTTAACAGAGGCAATGAGTTCCTTCCGAATAAATGGAAAAAAACGAAAGGAATATAATTGTAAGTTTTTCACAAAAATCTCAGTACCCGCCTGAGCAGTTAGCGGAATAAATGGTCAAATTAGTCTAACAGCCGTGGAATTATTATTAGCAGTTACAGGGAGTAGAAGGTCATTATTGTGGCATTAGAAAAGTCAGTTAATGGTTATGAAATGAGAGAAAATTATGTCCAGTAGTGTTTAGTGGACAGGAAAGAAGAAATAAAGAAAGAAAAAAACCAGGAGATAGTAGAGGGAAATAAAGAAAGAAAAAAATGAAAAACAAAAACAAAAAAAAAACGAAAAGAAATAAATAAAGAAGTAACAAAAATTAAAAAGCAAGAATAAATGATAGAAAGGAGAAAAAGAGGGAGAAGAAAAGAACGAAAGTATAGAAAAGAAGAAAGAAAATAAATAAAATGAAAGAAAAGCATATGTAAAAGAAAGGCAGATAAAAGGAATGAAAAAAGACAGAAAGAAAGAGAACAGACGAAAGAAAGAACGAAAGAAGACAAGAAAGGGAAAAAAGAAATGGAGAAGTAAAAGAAAGGTAGAAAGAATGAGAAAAGAAAGGGAAAAGGGGATAAGAAAAGAGAAAAGAAATGAAGATCGAAAGAATAGAAGAAAGAAAAAGAAATTAATAGAAAGGCAGAGAAAGAAAGAAAGAAAGAAAGAAAGAAAGAAAGAAAAGAAAAGAAAAAGGAAATAGTATAGAGAAAGAAGAAATGAAGCAAAGAAAAAATGGAAGGAAAGGAAAGGAAAAGAAAGGAGAGAAAAAAGAAAGGAATAAAGATAGAAAAGTACGAAGAAAAAGTATAGAAAAAGAAAGAAAGAATGAAACAAAGAAAGAAAAGAGGGAAAGGAAAGGAAAGAAAGAAGAGAAACAAAAAGAAAGAATTAAAAGAAGGGTAGATAGAAAGAATGAAAGAAAGAAAGAACGAAAGAGTAGAACAGAATAAAAGATGAAAAAGAAAACAGCAGAGACAAAGAAAGTAAAATGAGAAAAGTAAGAAAACGGAAGGAAAGAAAAGAAGAAAAAGAAATAAAGAATAGGAAAAAATAGAAATAAAAAAACGAAGAAATAGAGAGAAAGAAAGTATAAAGAAAGAAAGACTGAAACAAAGAAAAAAACGAACATAAAAGGAATGAAGACGAAAAAAGAAAGATAGAAAGAAAAATGAAAAATAGGAGAGAGAGAGAGAGAGAGAGAGAGAGGAGAAGGGGAAGAAAGATAGAAAGAACGAGAGAAAGAAGGAATAGAGAAAGTAAGAAATCAACGAAAAGAAAGAAAGGAAAGTTGAAGAAAATAATACATAAGTAAATTAATAGATAAAATAAAAAGGATTAAAAGAAAGCGAAATAATAAGAAGAAAGTATAAAGAACGATGAAGAAAAAGATCGCAAAGACGAAGAAGAAGAAAAGAACGAAAAAGAAGAAGAGAGAACAAAAAAGAAGAAGAACAAAATAGGAAAGAGATGAAGAAAGAAAACAGATTACAAAAAGAAGAAGAAGAAGAAGAAGAAAGAAAGAGAAGAACAAAAAGAAGGAAAAACGAGAAGAAGAAAAAGAAAATGCAAAAATAACCTGAAAGAAGAAAGAACAAGAAAGAAGAAGAAGAAGAAGAAGAAGAGGATTAATAAATAATGATAAAATAGAAATAGATTGAAAGAAAACGAAAGAATAAGAAAAAACTATAAAGAACAATAAAGAAAAAGATCACAAGAAGAAGAAGAAGAAGAAGAAGAAAAGAACAAGAAAGATGAAGAAGAAGAACAACAAGAAAGAACAAAAAATAACGAGAACAAAGTAGGAAAGAGATGAAGAAAGAAAAAGAAAAAGAAGGCGAAGAATAAGAAGGAACAAGAACAAAAAAAGAAAAAAAAGAAGAAGAAGAAGAAGAAGAAGAAGAAGAAGAAGAAGAAGAAAAAGATTAATAAATAATGATAAAATAAAAATAGATTGAAAGAAAACGAAAGAAGAAGATGAAGAAGAAGGAGAAGAAGAAAGAACGAAAAAACTAGAACAAAATAGGAAAGAGATGAAGAAAGAAAAAATACAAGAAAAAGAAAAACAAAAAAGAAGGAGAAGAAAAAGAAGAAAAACAAGAAGAAGAAAAGAAGAAGAAAAAGAAAAAGATTAATAAATAATGATAAAATAAAAATAGATTGAAAGAAAACGAGAGAAGAAGATGGAGAAGAAGAAGAAGAAGAAGAAGAAGGAGGAGGAGGAGGAGGAAGAGAAGAGGAAATTGGTTTCTTAGTTGTCTTACACTTGTGCATTATCCTCAAGCAGGAAGCTCAATAAACTCACCGATCCGCACATGCAAATTTTCATTTTCGAATTTACCCTACTTCACGAACGTCTATTTAACTAAATTATGTACCTATATTTATTTTTTCGTTATTTACACGCTAACTTGTTCCACTAGTTAGGCCGGGGTGGGGGTGGGGGATGTTTTATAGAAGAATTCCAACCAGCACTTGGACGAAGTTCAGGGCTGGAGCCTGACAATCAACGGTGAAAACATATTTCAGCTTCTGGCTCTATTCAAACTGTTCTATTTTGTCGAATGTAAATGCCTTCCTGGCGGGCATAGTCACTGAAAAGTCTTCAATTTGGAAAGAACGAAAAAAAAAAAAAAAGAAGGAATTATGCAATGATTCGCTTGTGCTGATTTAAATTTTCTGCTTGCTACAAGGTCATTGGCGTCAACAAGCTAAATGTGAAAAAAAAAAAAAAACAAAAAAAAAACAACAAAAAAACAAAAATACAACAACAAAAAACAATTCTAATTTCGGAGAAATTTCTCATTGAACGAGGAATTAATTTAAAGTGAAAAAGAGAAGGAGAAAGTGATTCAGAACATTTACTTAATTGTTTCTCTTTGCATGTAGATTTTGTATTATTTTTTCCTGATCATTTATATACAATGTCACGAATCTCACATTGCTTTTAATGTTATGTATAAAATGGCCTTAGTTTGTCTGTCAGTCATGGCTGTTTTAATTCTTTTTTATTTTAACAACATGTAGATAACGCAGTTTTGATAGCAGATACAGAAAGAAAACTACAAAACTCTTGTAGAATGTAATGAAGAAAAGCAAGAAGAAAGGACTGGTGCAACTAGGGAATGTGACTCATCGGAACATTTTCCATGGAAATAGCGATAGAGTTGCTATTTTGCATGTGTGGCAAACATATTGTAAGGTGGGATATAATTCCCCACCTTAAGGACGCGTGAATTATCTGATTGATTGATTTGTTTGTTTAACGGCACATGAACTCCTTATGGGTCATTTAATGACGAAATTTAATTTTCTTAGGAGCTTTGAAGTAATAAATAAAAAACAAACAAAAATCCTTATATACAATTATGCTGTTTTAATGTTAATATGTCAACGTCGGACGTTTCGGTCTAATAAACCATCTTCAGGATATATTCATAAAATATAATTAACATTATCAATGCAACATGACAAAGACGATGTACATAAGAACAAGACTTATCCCAACAAATAACTGAAAGTTTTATAAGATCAGCGCTCCGTTTAAAACATGGTCACGTTGTCGTCACGTGGGCGACGTGTTCTTATGTACATCGCCTTTCCGACGTTGACATATTAACATTAAAACAGCATAATTGCATATAAGATTTTTGTTTGTCTTTTCCGTATTTTTTTCATATATATATATATATATATATATATATATATATATATATATATATATATATATATATATATATTATATATATATATGTTTGTGTGTATATAATTAGTTGAGGCGGTAATATATATTTTTATGTTGCAGTTTTGTTATACAGGGTGTCCATAGAGTGCGTGTGCACTTTAAAATATGTATAATTTTATTTGTATTTGCGATAGAAATAATCTGTAAAAAATGTTATAAAGTTTAATGTACCTAGTTTTAAGTATAGCTAAAATAACTAATGTGATTTCAGGCATTACTGTAAATCAGTTGGCAAATGTTTTCCGTGAACTGCAAAATCGTATTACCCTTTGTATTGCTAATGATGGAGGACATGTGGAAACTTAAATAAAATTTCAATAAAACCTTAAAAAACATCGATTTACTTCTTTCTAATCCTTTTTATAAATTTTTTAAAGTGCACGCGAATCTTATGGACACCTTGTATTTTGGAATACAGTTTGATTTCTTTAATAAATTGTAGGATATTATATGGACTAATGTCATGAACGTTCCTTCATGATGGTTTATTGAATTCGTTTCGCGGTATATCAACACCTCTATGGGTTTTTTTTAATGCCGATATCTAAATATTTTGAACGCAATTTTATGGTTTCAACTAAATATATTTTGAAAAGAATTGTAAACTTCAACTACAGTTAAAATGTCTTTTTTTTTTTGGTCATTTTGCTATAAAATGTATTGCTGGTCATTTTCCCTTAAAAATGTATTCTTTGTCATTTTACTCTATTTTTATACTTTCACAGTGTCTTGTTTTTGTTTGGTTGTTCACTACTTGGCCATAACCAACAGCTGTTACCACTCCGCATCAGGGTAGACCTGGCAACAATAGTCAAGAATTGGTTCCATGCTTCTGAAAGTCTTCAATCTCCTGGTCAGAGGCCTTCCTGTCGGATTTAGTTTATCATCATAGGCCGGGTGGACGTTTTTGAATTCTTTCAAGGCTGGAAAGAGAGGATTGTGTAGCTTCAACCCAGATATGGTACCAATGCTCTGTAAATTGATCAGATTTGACTCTTGTAAAGGGAGAGCATAGCTGGTGGAGTCAGATACTTTCAAGACCGATTTATAAACAGACGACCATTTTTCCAAATACTTTAGCAACGTAGTCGTATAGATGATCAACTTGAGGTCCAAGGTCGAACATGAGCCCTAATAAAATCTCAAAGCAAGGAACATCTATGAAGGCGCAAGTATTCATCGCGACTTTGTAATGCAATTATTCAGGGAAATCATTTCATACATTTGATCTCCCAGCTTAAAATCTTTAAGATAATAAAATTATATGGCCGTATCAGAAAGAATAAAATGATAAGAAACAAAAAAAAGTTATACAGTTTGCAGGCAAATTTAATTTCGGCTCTTAGGATCTTCATACGGAGCTAGTTAAAATGTGAAATTCTAATATACATTTGTAGACAAAAACTGTATAACATATTTTTGAGTCGCGATAGATGCTTTGAAAGTCTTATGACCTTCATCAGCCAGAGATTTGCCTTGATTAAATCTTTTAATTTTTATGTTCAAATGCCAAAGTGCATAATAGAATTGTAATGGGCGATAATTCAAAATTCTTAAAAAGAGAAGATAATATAATTCTTTGAATGTCTTGTTCTCAAATAAAGATAAAATATAGATTGATTCTATAACATGAACCATACATTAATTTGAATTTGCTAATTGTAAACATAGTTATACACGTATCCTTTATCCAAATTTTAAAAATCGGAAAATCTCTCAAATCCGAAAAGTTTTCCATGTCCTAACTTGCCACAAAAACATGGACAATTTGATGTGCAACTATTGTAAGTGTCCTCATCTGCCCTGATTGTAGGCTCCACGGACCAGTTACGTAGCTTACGTCCGGCCCCAATTTGTTTTTTTCATCGACACAGCAGCACCTTCGTTCGGGGATTACTTACCAGATGTTTCGTGTTCAGTAAAGATATTATTCAAAATGTCAAAAATACCCTGCAGATACCCATGTGGACAGTAAAAAAAAAAGAAAGCATTGATCAAAAAAAGTCACATTCTGGGTATGACGATAAACTACATCAGGCCTGTGATCTGGAGGTTTTGAGGAGCGTGGAACCACCTCTTAATTGATGGTGTTTCCAGGTCCACCCTGACCCGGAGTGGTAGCACATTTTAGAGTCCCAGATATGGGCAAATAGTTAACCCCCAAACTGGGGTCAAAACACTATGAAAGTATAAAAATAGTTTTTTTTACGAAAGATACCAGCAATGCATGTTCCTTGTTTGGTACGGGCAGAGTATTGGCCATGAAGTGGTTTATCTTGCCATCGCTTCTGTATCTGATCGGTTGCATTCGTCTTTGCTGTCTTTTTTAAGTATTTTGCAGTTTCAGCCGGTGTATTGTGCTATAGTTGCATCTCTACACCCAGTTGGAATTCTAGTTGAACTAATCCTCTGCCTTCTTCGGATCTGGGTACATACAGACGATCAACATCAGCTTTGGGATGATGCATGCGGTAGCAAGTGAGAAGCTTTCTCGTTTTGACGTCCATTTCAGCTATGGTCCAGTTAAGGACATTAAAGCTGTATTGCACCACAGGGACAGCCAATGTGTTTATGGCTGATATTCTGTTTTTTGAGTTTAGCTCAGTATTTAGTACCAGACGTACACGCCTGTACTTTTTTCTTATTTTTTCCTTCATTTGGGGGTGTTGTATGCCTCCTCTTTCGCTAATTACTAGGTACTTATAAGCATCATCATGCTCCAGTTCCCTAATATTTGTGACAAAATCTAAATCTATTAAGGGTGTTTCTGTACTTCTACGTTTCTTGAATGTTACTTTTGCACATTTATCTAATCCGAAGTCCATACCTATGTCGTCACTGAAGTATTTTACAATATTGATGATGACTTTCAACTCATTGTCGTCTTTGGCAAAGAGTTTGAGATCATCCATGTAGAGTAGGTGATTGGATACTTTCTTATTTATTTTGTAACCATAGCTACTGTTGTTCAGTTCATGTGTAAGAGGGATTAAGGATAAACAAAACAGAAGGGGTGACAGAGAGTCTCCTTGAAAGATTCCACGTCGGATATTCAGACGGTTGGATATGGCAGTGCCCCCGGTGTGACTAAGGTATAGTTTGGTGTTCCACATTCCGATGCTGTGCTTAAGGAAATTTAATACCAAAGGGGAGGCTTTGTACATTTCCAAAGTCTTAAGGATCCAAGAATGTGGAACACTATCAAAGGCTTTACAATAATCAATCCACGCTGCACTAAGATTTCTACGTCGTCTCCTGCAATTTTCCAGGATCATTTTATTTATCAGAAGTTGATCTTTGCAGCCATATGAACCTCTTCTGCATCCCTTCTGTTCCAGCGGGAGAGTGCTGTTTGTTTCGAAAAAGGAATAAGTCCGGTTCGTCAGTACATACGTGATCAACTTATACATTGTGTAGAGACATGTTATCAATCTATAATTTTTCGGGTCATCTGTTTCAGTTGTTTTTGGTATGAGGTATGTAATACTTTCAGTAATCTATTCCGGGATTTTATTGGGAATATTTACAAGCGTTTATAATGTTTTTGCAAGAATTTCATGGATAGATGAGAGATGATAAAGCCAGAAATTGGGCAACTTGTCATTTCCCTTTATTATTATTATTATTATTATTAATATTCTCCTTCTTCTTCTTCTTTTTCTTCTGCTTTTTTTTCTTCTTCTTCTTCTTCTTCTTCTTCTTCTTCTTCTTCTTCTGCTTCTTCTTCTTCTGCTTCTAATCTTTGCCTGATGAAGAGAATATAAGTTCCGAAACAAATACTAACATTCAATAAAACATACAATACATAGCGCCCGATAATGATGGAACACATTTTAAATGCAAATATCTTGGATTCTAAAAATGACATAGAGTATCAAATATATTTATTACATAACTGATATACAAAAGATCAACATATTATCTAAGATTTTGTTATTTCCTGCAGATATCTGATCATCTCTTTTGCTGACATTGGGGCCTCATCATGCCAGGGACTCCAAAAGAAATTGCAAAGACCAACCATTGCAGCCCCAAAGAATTTTCGACTACGTTTTGGAAAGCGACAAGTACCATCCAAAATATTATCCTGAAAGGTGATCCTTCGTGTGAGACAAGCAGTAAGTGAGTAAGCCTGCACTCTCATTGTGGTAGTGACCATCTCAGGGATGTAAAATTCAAATCTTACGTAATATGTTGAACTCTTCATACTTGTATTTAAAAAGTGTCCCATTATCATTGGGAAACATTATGGGACACACTGTATATATCATGATTGCGTTAATCAGCCATTGTTCTAGAATGCTTTGACCTTGGCTAAAAAGAAAATACGAATACAAAATATTTATATATGAAAAACTAAAAAAAAAATATTAAAATTTATTAGAAATTATTAACTTAGAGGTTATATTCAGTAGTTTTTGTGTAAACACCATTGTTTTTCAAACATTGAAATTAATGCCTAGAAGTGGCCTACACAGGAATCGAACCTACATTGCTTGTTTAATAAGTGGAAAGGATTTTAAGGCATCAACGCTTTAAGAATAGAACAGAAGAAACCGCTAGAGACTTATAGCAACGCAAAACAATTACCCTATCGCAAAAAGGCACACACCTCTTTGGGAGATTTCGTCACACATTTGCAATTTCTTTTGTACTCGGAACGTAGTATACACTCACGCACGCAAACACACACATACATACATACACTTATATATATCTATCTATCTATCTATCTATATATATATATATATATATATATATATATATATATATATATATATATATATATATATATTATAATTTTAACATATAGACAAAAAACAGCTCAGTACAAAGATGCAACTTCGTTTCGGTGCATTTCAATTGCATCTCAACTGGTGAGACCCGAAAATGGTTATGAACAATTCGGCTTGTAGGCAAGCCGTATGTGATACGTCACTTCCTTTTTTTTGTCATTTGTTTAAGAAAAAAATATCCATAAAGCAAAAATGCGACGGAGTGAAACAATAGTGCTTGTTGATAGCGGTTTGGTCAAGGATGGATGAGATGTTGGATGATGGCTAATCTGGGAAGATTCCTTAACGAAAAAAAAAAGGAAATTGGTTCCATGAAACCTGAGAACGCTGGCATTTAAAAAAAAAAGTTGCATGAATTTATACAGAACAATCCTTGAAAAAGAATGTAGGGAGATTCGAAAGTACTCGGGAAAATAATATAAAAATAAAAGTAAATATGATCTTCGGTAAATTTACTGACAAGAGAAAATAATTAATACGGAAATTTAAAAGAATTATTGAATCAAATATGTTTAAAAAATTCATATATATATATATATATATATATATATATATATATATATATATATGGGGTGGGAGATCGAGAGACTATGGTTTGGTTTGGTTTTTGGTTTGGTTTGTTTTACGGCAATGAGTCATTTAATGCCGACAACTTTTTTTCCTGGTAATATTTTGTTAGAAATCTATTTCTGTTAATATTTTTCCTGAAAAATGTATAGCTGGTAATATTATTTTTCAAAGACATATAGCTGGTAATATTATTTTTTCAAAAATGTATAGTTGGTAATATTTTTTTTTCAAAAAAGTATAGCTGGTAATATTATTTTTTAAGAAACGTACAGCTGGTAATATTATTTTTCAAAAATGTATAGCTGGTGATATTATTTTTCAAAAAACGAATAGCTGGCAACATTATTTTTTCCAAAACGTATTATCAGAGGCCTTGCTGTTGGACGTAGTTTATCGTTTTACCCAGGACGCGGATGTAGTTTATCGACATACCCAGGACGCGGATGTAGTTTATCGTCATACCCAGGACGCGCATGTAGTTTAGAGTAATACCCAGGACGCGGATGTAGTTTACCGTCATATCCAGAGACTATGGATCTGCGCTCAAAGATTTATGCACTTTTCAGGGCGAAGGCCTGGGCAGTTTTTTTGCTTTTTTTAATAAGAGATCTGCAATTGTCCATGCAGCAACTCTTTCCCTTCCACGCCACTGATTTTGTCCAAAGGAAAGGCGATCTTTGCAGGAGTTACCCGAACGAAATTGAACATGACATGTGATTGTCTTACGGATTTGAATTTCAGAGTTTTCTTCTCTTAGACCGGTTGCCACCAAAGGCTATAAAACCCAGACTGTCCTGCTATTTACCTATAGCAGAAAAGATGGATTCATAACTTTCACAATGATATTAGAACGTAAGTGAATATAATGAACTCGAATGGAATTCGAACTCTGCTCTCCAATTCCAAAATCCGAGCGGCCATCCATCACTATCATGCCTCCAGATATGTAAATCCAGTAAGCAGTTATCCTAACAAGTTATTTTGTTATATTTAGCTGACAAGTCATGTTTGATTTTATTTTCGTTTTATTTTTCCAATTTCTAAATAAGATGTAAATCTGGATCAACATTTTCGGATAGACTCTTTGGAATTGGTTTGACGAGTAAAAGAGCGCGGTTTTGTTTTGTAGGCGTTAAAATTAGCGGGTCATTTCTGGCACCACTTTCCCGTCTTGAATTCATTTCTGCGTTTTTACTCGCTAAGACATGATTTCCGGTCTTGCTATTTAGTCTCTGTAGAATCGCCATTTTTTTTTTAATATTTTTGACAGTGAGGCAGAAAGAGAAAAATCACCCGGACACTAGATGCGTTAGGTTTCGTCATCATTTCTCTAAATTGATCCATTTGCATACAACCAACAATGCCGCGAAATGATAAATTTAGAAGAAAGATTTAGAACGAAGAAATTGAGAAGGAGAAAGAGGGAAAATAGAGAGAGAGAGAGAGGGAATGAAAGAGAGAGAGAGGGAATGAAAGAGAGAGAGAGAGGGAATGAAAGAAAGTGAGGATGAGCATGAGAGGGAAAAAAGAAAAAACAGAAGAAAAAAAACGTGTGAATAAAAGAAGACGAAAAATGAAACGACAGATCGATTACCTGCAAAGGTCATTTAAAATAAACATAATTATGATTTTTTTTAATTATTATTAATTGGCATAAACAGAAATAAAGACCGATTATTTTTTCCACCAGAAACCGCCATTTTGCTTTTACTCACGAAAAAAAAAAATTTGTTAAATGTAAGATGGCGCATTTTAAAAGTAGCCGTTCCAAAAGGAAGAAAAGTATAAAGAGATAGAGACATTTTCTCTAGAAACTAAGAAAAGAATGCTGAATTAATCTCTATAAAAGGCAGGATGTGTCTGTGTGTGTGTGTGTCTGTGTGTGTGTGTGTGTGTGTGTCTGTGTGTGTGTGTGTGTGTGTGTGTGCGTGTGTATGTGTGTGTGTGTGTGTGTGCGCGTGTGTATGTGTGTGTGTGTAACGAATGCACGGCAGCAATTTTCGACGGATTTGCACCAAAATTTACATGCACATGTTCCAAGTTAGCGGGAAAGCCAAGACCGACTTTGCATTTTCCAACTCCCATCGAGAGTGGAAATAATCGATTTTTTCATGCTTCTACGGCAGTTTTCATGTAGTTTGCGGCCATTTTGCACTGGCCAGAGTGAGAGCCAATAGCTGGCTGCCACGAATATGCAGGAAGATTCTGTTGACCAGCGTGAGAGCCAACAGCTGATTGACCTAAGGGAGGGCAAAAATATTTTAAGTCAAGTGATAGCGATTTCTGTATGAGTCGTACGATTTTTGAATCAAGCACGGGCAACGCCGGGCCATGCTGCTAGTGTTGTATATTTCCTATAGGATAACGAATAATTGAGAAATTCCTCACAAGAAGGATCTCTGAGCATTACGGATGTGTTTCTATAGATGGATACCGAGCTGACCACAGACTGAACATGTGAGCAACGAGAAAGATGAGGAAGAAAATAAAATCAAACCTGAAAGCACTTGTTAATCTATAAGTGAGAAAGCATTAAGCGCAATATTTTTAAAAAGATAAACTGAAAAAATAAAATTATTATCAATTGAAGTAACGCAGAAAAAAGGCAAGAGTATTGGATTCTTATGTCGTATCGGACTTCTTATATGATAAGAAATGTTAGACAATGTCCTCAGAGATAAAGGAGAGCCTTGAGGCAATAGAGATATGGTTTCACAATCACATATTAAGAATAAAACGGGCAATATCGTTGTAAAATTTTCCCAGTTTCTTCCATTCACATTTGTCCCTATATAAAGTATATTTAAACGTAATATAGAAAAAAACGGGTTAGTATTTCAAACACGGGTATCGATTAAAATAACGTTCGATATATATATATATATATATATATATATATATGTATGTATGTATGTATGTATGTATATATAATAAAAAGGCTTAAACACTAATATTCCATGGTCATAATTTATTCCATTGGAATCGTAAATACGATCCAATTCATCAGACCTCAATCCAATTCATCAGACCTACAAATTCAAAAGAAAGGTTTTCTTTTTGAATTTGTAGGTCTGATAAATTGGATCGTATTTCAAAATCGAAATTCTTAACATATGCAGGCATAAAAAATCTTGGTTACTAAATTAAAACGAATTTCCCCGTTTATTTGTCATTCCACCTTAATGTTCGTATTTTAATATCCCCTCCCCTTTTAGTTGAATAAATCTTTAACCACCCCCCCACACACACACTCCGGTGTTTTTGTGTTTTTCTTTCTTTGGTCACGTGGTATAATTTTGGCTATCACCATAAATATGCGTTTCCCTTTGCCTCTTTAGCCGGCTTTCCCTGACGATCCGTTTAGGTAAAACCTGGGTAGGTTTGTCTGGCTCACTAGGTTTATCTAGGTCTGCTCTACAGTTGCATTGAGCTCTTTTGTTAGTTAATTGTTTATTCGTATCGGGGTTTTTTCTTTGGGCTTTAAAGCTGTATCTGTGCGATTTTTTTCGACAGAGTTTCATCTTTCTAGCTCTTTCTTTTTTTAAAACCTTTTTTTTCCCTCGAGATTGATTTGAATATTGGCAAATTAAAAATTCGAGGGTTTTTCGAAACGAGTATAGTTAACTAGATTTTATATATATATATATATATATATATATATACAAACGCTTACATTATATATATATATATATATATATATATATATATATATATATATATATATATGAAAAATGATTATTTTTCACTCGGGAGAAGATGGTCTTCTTAACTCGTTTTTAAAGCTCTCGGCTTTTTTTCAGCAGATGCCGAGTACTTACCCTCTGTAATATGTTGAACGAATTTCTCTCGGTATCAATTTAAATTCGGTGTTCTTGTCAGTACAGTAGAAACCCTCTCATCCGGAATCCCTCATATCCGGAATTCCTCATATTCGAAGTGCTTTACATCCGGAATCTCGCAAATCCGGACATGATTTTGAAGTGTACATTTGAACTATTTGGGTGATATGTAACTGATTTGAAATTTCTGTTTTTCAGAAAATTTACTTCGGATAATTGCTTAAGCTTATTTCACCGTAATGGCTTGTATTCGTACAAAAGATGATGGGAATAAAAGGAAAAGAACAACTTTGGAGTTATCGCAAAAAGTGGAAATTTTAAACAGACTAGACGCTGGTGAAAGTTCATTTTAACTAATGGCTGAGTTCAAAATTGTATGATATGAAATCTTTCAAAGAAACTATTCTCCAGCGATCACACTGTCACAATGAACAAGGAAATAAAAAACAAACATTATTGGAATGAAAACGGGACTGAAACTGAAAAAAAAACTATTGAGGTGGTCGTCAGTTTTATGGAAAGAAAGCCAGCATTCATCTATGATGATTGTAATAACGCACGTAGAATTAAAAATGATCTTTCGTTTAAAAAAATCCAAGAACAAAATCAAAACGAAATGCGGAAAAAGTTGAGAATGACATTAGAAGAGAAAGAATCATCATGCAACAGCGATTAAAAAATCCTCGTTACGTTATTTGTTTTGCATACGTGGTATACTTAATTTAATGAATTTTCATTAATATTACATAATTTATTTTTTTTTCCTTAAAATCAATTCCGTTATATTTCACTCAGCATTAGCTTATTTTGTTTACTATAAAACATTGAAAATAAATGTTAAACATGATATCAGTTCTTTTATTTTAATCTGAATATAACCTCTCATATCCGCACTTTGTAACTATTTCCTCATATCCGGAAGGCCTTCTTAATCCGGTTGTCAGGGATTCTACTGTATTACGAAAAATTTTTTTTTTTTTTTTTTGCCGACGACAGATCTCTGAAGAAGAGTTGGCCGAGAAGGGGGTTCTTAGATGTTTTTCTTAATAGTATTAAACTATTATTATTAACATTATAGCTTTGTTTATATATCTATGATGAAAACTTGAAAAGAAATGTTAAAAACCAATAGAAGCCGGGCCGCAGCTACCAGATAAAAAGAAAAAAAAACAGTAAAAAGTTAAAAAAAAGAATCATTAACCCCTTCCCCACCATTTATTTTGGGAAAAACGTTTCATTATCAGACGATATTTTTTAATTTGTTTTTAATATAGTAACTAAGAAAGTGAGGCACCTTGAATTACCTGTGCGGTGGCAAACACCTCTAGCAAACTTAACAATTGGATCCGTTTCAAGCTGAGGTCATAAAAAGAATCAGGATCGACGTATAAACACGTCTGTAGCTGGTTTATGAACGTTATGCTTTGACGTGTTTATTCGTCCGTGTCTGACAAATATACTTTCGATAAAAATGTATACAGTGTAACCCGGATGTAAGAGAGTTGTCGGGACCGGAGATGAAGTCTCTTATATCCGGGTTTCTCTTATATCCGGGTTTCTCTTATATCTGGGTTTGGTCTATTTTGTTTAGGTAACAATTTGGGACCAGAGAAAATCTCTCTTATATCCGGGTTTCTCTTATATCCGGGTTGCTCTTATATCCGGGTGTCTTATATCCGAGTTACACTATATACATCTCTACACCGAGTAAAGTGTTTAAGAACAACTTTGCAAGACTCAAAAGTACAACAATCTATAAAAAGTCCTGTGCAAAATCCGACCTAACTGAAGCTGAAACCCAATCCAAAAGTAACAAAGACACACCAACTTCAGCCTGACATCAAGGGTTGATTGAAAATACTGTGATTTTTATTTACAATTTAGTATTCTTTGTGTGTTTCTAGCCTATCGTTACTCTCTTGCTATTTTCATGTCAGCTGTTCAGGCGAACTACGTCCCTTACTTTGACCAGTCCAGAATATTCACTGGTAGGACCCACCAGATTACGCACACTGAATCGACAAATCCTAATTCCCTTCATATTCCATTAGTAAGGAGGAAGTTCCACCCGACAACTTCTTCCTCAGAACTGTTGCTTGTCCTGGGTAAGACGATATTCTACATCCGCGTCCCGCGTAAGACGATAAACGACATCCGCGTCCCGGGTAAGACGATAACTATGCCCAACAGCAAGAACTCTGATCAGGCGGTTTTAAAGCAATTGGAACCACCTATTAATTGCTGGTGTTTCCAGGTCCACCCAGACCCGAGGTGGTACCACCTACTAGGGTCGCAACGATGAGCAAATAGTTAACCCCCAAACTGGGGTTAAAACACTATGAAAGGGTAAAAATAGGTTTGAAAACCAGCAATAAATTTTTCGAAGGAAAAATTATTACCAACGATACATTTTTGAAGGAAAAATATTACCAGCAATGAATTTTAGGTAAAGGTTATTACCAGAAATACATTTTTGGAAAAAATATTACCAGAATAAAAATATTGTCGGTATTAAATAACCCATTGTGGTTGATATGACGTTAAACAAAATAAACCAAATCAATCTAAACCAAAGAATACATATTCTATTCATATGAATCTATCCTAAAAATGTTGTCGGCATTAAATAACCCATTGAGGTTGATATGCCGTAAAACAAAATAAACCAAACCAATCTAAACCAAAGAATACATATTCTATTCATATGAATCTATCCTAAAACTATTGTCGGTATTAAATAACCCATTGAGGTTGATATGCCGTAAAACAAAATAAACCAAACCAATCTAAACCAAAGAATACATATTCTATTCATATGAATCTATGATAAAAATGTTGTCGGTATTAAATAACCCATTGAGGTTGATATGCCGTAAAACAAAATAAACCAAACCAATCTAAACCAAAGAATACATATTCTATTCATATGAATCTATCCTAAAAATATTGTCGGTATTAAATAACCCATTGAGGTTGATATGCCGTAAAACAAAATAAACCAAACCAATCTAAACCAAAGAATACATATTCTATTCATATGAATCTATCCTAAAAATGTTGTCGGCATTAAATAACCCATTGAGGTTGATATGCCGTAAAACAAAATAAACCAAACCAATCTAAACCAAAGAATACATATTCTATTCATATGAATCTATCCTAAAACTATTGTCGGTATTAAATAACCCATTGAGGTTGATATGCCGTAAAACAAAATAAACCAAACCAATCTAAACCAAAGAATACATATTCTATTCATATGAATCTATGATAAAAATGTTGTCGGTATTAAATAACCCATTGAGGTTGATATGCCGTAAAACAAAATAAACCAAACCAATCTAAACCAAAGAATACATATTCTATTCATATGAATCTATCCTAAAAATATTGTCGGTATTAAATAACCCATTGAGGTTGATATGCCGTAAAACAAAATAAACCAAACCAATCTAAACCAAAGAAAACATATTCTATCCATACAAATCTATCCTAAAAATGTTGTCGGCATTAAATAAGCTATTGAGATTGATATGCCGTAAAACAAAATAAACCAAACCAATCTAAACCAAAGAATACATATTCTATTCATATGAATCTATCCTAAAAATGTTGTCGGCATTAAATAACCCATTGAGGTTGATATGCCGTAAAACAAAATAAACCAAACCAATCTAAACCAAAGAAAACATATTCTATCCATACAAATCTATCCTAAAAATGTTGTCGGCATTAAATAACCCATTGAGATTGATATGCCGTAAAACAAAATAAACCAAACCAACCCAACAGATCTGTTGTAATGAGGAACTGATTGCCGAGTTGATGATCCCTTGACCTCTTAAAGTAAAAGATCAATACAAATCTATCTTGAATATCCTACAACCGCTGCTCCTCCTATACACTGTTACAAGATTCCCTTCAGTATCTCTCTAGACTGAGTGGCACTTAGGCCTTATATTGGTTAGCAATAGTAAAAAAATAGTTAAATCTGTCATAATTAAGGAGGAAGTTTTATTTTGATTACCATCTTACCGCGATTAAGAAGGGAGACAATTTTGATGATTTCATTTAGAATGTTGATAATTTTGCGAGCATTGTGTGCATCGATATCTAAAAAAAGCAGGATGTGTCTGTGTGTGTGTGTAACGAATGCACGGCCGCAATTTTCGAAGGATTTTCACCAAAATTTGCATGCACATGCTCCAAGTAAGCGGGAAGGCCAAGACCGACTTTGCATTTCCCAACTCCCATTGATAGTGGAAATAATCGGTTTTTCATGCTTCTACGCCAGTTTTCATGTAGTTTGTGGCCATTTTCTACTGGCCAGAGTGAGAGCTTACAGCCGGCTGCCACGAATAGGCAGGAAGATTCTATTGGCCAGCATGAGAGCCAACAGCTGACTGACACGAATGTTAACTAGCATGCTAGCATGCAAAAAAATCGATAGCTGCATTCGTCACAAGTGGGAAAAATTTAAATCTGCATGGCACTTTACTCCAATTGGCTCATTCGCTTGCTTAAACTCAACGTTGATTCTGATTCCGCAGAACTGGGTTGGGTGTGAAAAAGTATTTGTTGTTAACATTCTTTTTTTCATTCGGTTTTTCCAGTTACGAGTCCTTTTTTTAAAGCTGATCGTTTTGTGTTCATTTTGTTTAGCTCTTTTTTCGTAACAGAATTAATGTTTAGTATAGAGCTTAGAAAAATTGGCAGTGTGAGATAGGCAAGAAGTAAGACATGTAGCAACATCAGCACGGCAAAGGGCATTCCTTTGAAGGCAAGGAAGGGCAAAAATATTTTAAGTCAAGTGATAGCGATTGCTGTATGAGTTGTACGATTTTTGAATCAAGCACGGGCAACGCCGGGCTATGCTGCTAGTTTACTACTAAATATGTTGAAATTAAATAATAGCAGACGTTACTTTAAAACAACACCCTTGTATAGACCAAGGGCGCTTCTTGCAGGGTAAGGGAGATGCGCACTCCTCGCCAATGTCAATGTGTTTTTTAATTTTACGTTGCTGTTTTCATAATAGGGAACCTGAAGAAATGACAGGATGCGAAAAGCGGACTTGGAGGAAATATTGAGAACTGAATATTGGGTCCATTTTGTAGGGTGGAGGAGAAACAAATGAAAGGATAAGAACAAAGAATTGAAAGAGAAAGAAAGAAAGACAGAAAGAAAGAAAGAAAGAAAGAAAGAAAGAAATGTGGAAAACAAATAAAGAAGAAAAAAAGAAATAATTAAAGAAAGAGTGGGGAGAAAAACAAATAGGGAAATAAAGAACAAAAGAAAGAAAAAGAAAGAAAAAGAAAGAAAAGAGAAAAAATGAGAAAGAAATAGTTTCAAAAGAAAGAAGACAGAAAAGCTGGGAAGAAAAAGAAATGAGAAGAAAGAAAGAAAGAAAGAAGGAAAGAAAGAAAGAAGAAAGAAAACGTACGGAAAAATGTCACGACAGATTGATCACCTGCCGAGATTTTGTAAAATAAACCAAAAAGATACTTGTGCGAATTATTTTTTTGTATTGCATATTAATTGAGATGAGCAGGAAAAAGAAGAAAAAAGAAAGAAAAAAGAATGAAAAAGAAAGAAAGAAAGAAAAGAAGGGTGAAAGAAAGAATGAAAAATGACACGACAGATTGATTACCTGCTGAGGTTCTGTAAAATAAACAAAAAGGTCATTTCTGTTAATAGTTTTTTTATATTGCATATTATTGATATGAACAGATAAAAGAAAGAAAGAAAAAGAAAGCAAGAAAAAAAAGCAAAGAGAGAAAAAAGAAACGTAAGGATAGTGAAAGAAAGGGAACAAAAAATGACAAGAGAGATTGATTAGCTGCCGAGGTTTTGTAAAATAAACAAAAAGGTAATTTTTACGAATTATTTTTGATATTGCATATTAATTGACATGAACAGAAAAGATACTGATTATGTTTTTTTTGTTACCAGAAGCCGCCATTTTGTTTTTAATCACGAAAATGAGATTCTTGTCGAATTTGATATCAACTAGTTTGCAGAAAGGAACAAATCCGTTTTAAAAATGAGATTGAACAATAGAAATCACGCCACTCATTTATCCAGTATTCAATATACCTAACAAGAATAGTATTTGAATGCTTTCATGACGTAGATGGTCATGTCTCACCACAGCTTCTTTTTCTTTTTTGTTGAATTTCTGGGATGAGGAGTTATCATTATTTACACGTTTTATATACAGACTATTGTCCTCACCTTATCCCAACATTTCGGCCGTAGTGCCCTCCTGCCTTCCTCAGATGCATATATTACAGGGAATTTTGAATTTATAACACCTTGCCGGACTCAGCGATTGGACTCACAATCACTATGTCACCAAATTGACGATCAATCTCTTTTTTTACGGGCCATTATCTCGTAGGAAAATTAACTGCGGTAATCTTAGAGCCTTAAACATAACTTGATTATGTTGCAACTGCTGCCGCCCATGTTTTGACTGCTGCTGTGGCTGAAAACTTTCTGTCATTTGTACATTTTTCTTTATTAGTGGTTAGCATATTGTATCTATTTCTATGCTAGGTATACTAAAAGGGTCCTTGTAACTAACTATCTAGTTTAACTCTCCAGTGTTTTTCCTTGTTCGGTATTTTCACTTCATTTCACAAGGGATGATGAATTCCCCTTTCCCTCCATACATGATCAGCTATGCCCGGTTTCATTGTCTCACTTCTGGCTACGACCTTTTCGATGTTCCTCCAGGCTTGTTTTACGTTTATATTCTCTGGCACAACTGAAATGAATCGAGTACACGCAATTCTTCCCGTTCACCCCTCCACGGTTCGGAATATATACTTTTCGCTATCTTACTCTGGTTCGTTCTCGATCGGGAGATTGGAGTTTTTGAGGAGTTGGACCCACCACTTAATGGCTGTTGTTTCTAGGTCCACCCTGACTCGGGTGGGAGCACCTTTTATGGTCCTAGCTATTAGCAATATTAAACCCCAACCCCAAAAATCAGCAGTTCATTTTTATAATAAAATGAGTAACAATAGTCTTTTATAGCAAAATGACAATAAAAAATATAAAGATACATTTTTATAGTAATAATATTAACAATACATTTTATGAACTACAAACTATATATTTAAAAAAAACATACCTCATCCTTGGAAGTATCAAATTATGTAGAAAATATCTGTAGTTGCAAGGATAAAATTACGTACAAAATATTTCAGCATCAAATAACCCATAGAGGTGTTGATATGCCGTTAGACAGAATCAACCAACCAACAATACGTATTTATACTAAAATTACCAACAATACATATTTAAAGCAAAATGACCAACAATACATTTTATCTATAGTTGAAGCCATAAAATTGTGTTCAAAATATTTAGATTTAGGCATTAAAGAACCCATAGACGTGTTGATATGTCGCCAAATAAAGCCAACCAACCTACAGTACCTATTTATATTAAAATTACCTAGAATACATATTTAATACAAAAGGACCAACAACACATTTTTCCTGTGGTAAACATAACATTGTATCCAAAATATGTAGATTTCGGCATTAAATAACCCATAGAGAACCCATAGTGGTGTTGATATGCTATTCAACAAAAGCAGGCAACCATTCAAATCTGGTTGGTACCGGAAGTTAGCGAGTCCAGCTATTTAATTGCTAGCAGGCAGTACTGAGAGGAAGATCGCGAAAACTCTATATTCCGAGCAGTGGAGAAGGCAACGAGAAATCCCTCAATTATCGTTTCCAAGAATGCATGATAATTTATTGATAATTAAAAAAATGGATCTGTAGAGAGACATAATCGGTTACATCCTGACAGCATTCAAAGATCGTATTTGAGAGATGCACTGAATATTCCATAAAAAGAGTCGCTGAATTTCTATTGTTCAATCTCATTTTATCGCCCGTGTTTTTCATCTAGCTGTTCAGCTGTTGGATAAAGAAACAAACACATGCCTTTCCCAAGCGTATCATTGCAAAAAGCAACGCGATAGACTAAACCGGAATTTGAACTCGGCTTGCAAATTCAACTCCCCAAGCCGACATCAGAGCCATACAGGTAATCTTAACCTTTTAAGTCCTGCATTCTCGAACAATTTTAACCATTCCGCCTGTGCTCCTGAGTCAAAATACGCAAATAATTGGTATGTAATGTTGCACGGTAGATATAAAAACAGTTACATGTGTTTACCGGTGGCTGGGTATTAAGTCATTTTTTCTACTACTGTTCAACCGGTGGATGGGCATTATGTCATTTTTCTCTACCACCGGTAAACGGTGGTCAGGGTCAAAGGGTTAACCCTGACATTACGACAAGATCTAGATTTAGTAATGGTAAAGATATTTTGTATTTAATTATTTCAACCCAACCAAGGCGATAAAGTCACTAAGGCGGAAGTGGTTAACCGCGAATTAAAGAGAAAACTGAAGAGAAAGGACAATAAAAGAACAGGGTTAAAAAAGAGAGAAAATAACTGTTGAGGTTGCATTTAAATGGTTGAAGAAGATCGTAATTGACAGGGAAGCAAGAAGTTATATTCACAAATTCTGTTTCAAATATTTTTATAACCATTTATGCATTATGTGAATGATTACACCACAAGTAAGGTGATAAAGCCACTAAGACAAAGAAGTTTTCTGAGAGTGAAAGACTCTTAGAAAAAAGAGAAGTAGTAAATAAAATGAGAGGGTTCAATGAGATATGGAATGACAACTGGTGTTGCCTTTAAATAATTGAAAAAAACGTCATTGACTAAAAAGCATGAAGTCGGTAGGTAGTTTCAGTAACGAGAAGTGTGAGAGAAGAAACTATTAGCATAGAACTTACTGTTACGCCCAATAATTTCAAAAGTAAAAGGATGCGACCTAACTGCCAATCAAGTACTGCGCTTAGATTCATGAAGTGAAATTATCGAAGAAACGAAAGCTCTTCAAAAGATTTACCACGAAAATATTTACAGAAAAGGCTCAAGGAAGCTACATGGGAAGATTATTATAGCCGAGAGGCCAGGTATGCATCGATAACATTGCAGATTCTTCATTAGAATTTGTCAAGAATCTCTAGATAAATAGCAAAAACACCAGACCAGAAATTGCCGCAGTGTTCAATCCACGGGCGGATAGTAGGTGAATACAGAGAGATGGACAATACTGGGTATAATTCACATAATAATGAGCTAATTTTTCAAGCAGCAGATTTCGAAATTGTCTCGATATAATCGTTCAAATTTATATAGTGACAAAGCAAAGCTTAGATGTGGCACAAGGCCGAAAATATGAAGTGCCTAGCGAAGATCGAAAACACTACTCAGTCGGAATTGATCTAGCGAGACAAGCTTGATAACCATGTTGAAGGTGGTTTTCTAAGCGTAGCTTAGATGTGGCACAAGGCCAAAAATATGAGGCACACGGTGAGGACCGAACTCAATAAATTATTTTCTAAGCGGAGCTTACATCTGGCGTAAGGCCTAAAGGGTGGATCCCCGAGTGAGGATCTAATCTATGATTCAGTCGTAATTGATCTATCAACACAAGCTCGCTAGCCATTACACCACATCGAGATGCCCAGTTTCAGTTCAAATAAATGGCAAACGTTAAGCAGAGAAGATTATTATCATATGGTAATTTTCAAAGCGTACCTTAAATGTAGTACAAGGTCGAAAGTATAGGACATCCAGTGAGGATCGAATTCCCTATTCAGTTATAACTGATCTACACAGACAAGCTTGCTAATGATTACGCCATGTCGAGGTGTTCGGCTTCAACTGAAAACCGTTAAACAGAGAAAATTATTATATTATACTTACCTGGCTGATGTCAGAGGGTACCCCCGAGACGAGGCGCTGCCGAAGGGCAGAATCTCGTTTCGGGAAGATGACTCCGTTTTTTACGTGGTCTATATGGAATTTTTGCCCGAGCCTACGGGCTCGGATACCCCATTTTAAACTCGACCTTGTGCCACATCTTGCTGCGTGGGGCAGTTGGTAAATAATTATACTTACCTAGCACAGGGCTTCGTCCTTGGGCTGGTGGTATCACAGCTAGGACTAGCTTGGACCGGCACTGACCAGTTTGGACTAGCTATGACAAGCCAAGACCAGCTATGACTAGCTTAGACCAGCTCTGACCAGCTTGGACAAGCTATGATCAGTATAGACCAGCGGCCCGAGGGAAAACACTCGAGTCTCTACGTTAAAAATTGATCTTGTGTCACAACCTGACTTAGTGGGGTGCCAAGTAAATATCTATTATATAAAAACAGATGAAAAGTTATATCACATCATAAAGCATATACTACGAACAAGACAAAAAAAGAATATAAATTAATCACAATATGGTTGACAGGTTGATTCATTGGAGATTCAAGTTTTATTGTACGAGCAATTCGCGTGATCTCAAGCCGGAAAGTAATATAAGTAGTAAAAAACATTTCTAGTTACTTGTAGCGTTTATTCATTATCATTAAAGTCGTTAAATGACTTTCAGATCATAACCTTAGCTGCTTGGAATATTTTTGAATGCCATTGTGGGCGGTGATGGAACTAGAAGAATTGAAAATTAAGGAAAAATTTGGAACAATTCAAAGATATTGTTGAAAACGGCTAGAATACTGAATGTTAGTTAGTTGTTTTTGTTTAGCGGCATATCAACACC